AAACCCCGTACTTCTCAAAATTTTAAAATTAAATCTTTTAATTGCAATAAAGTTTTTATTTCACGAACAAGTTTTTGTGAGGTAAAGTTAATGGCATTATGATTTCATAATTAAGAAAAAATTACTAAAAATTAGCAGTCATATGTCACTTGCGAATAATGGTGACCGTAAGTACCTACAAAGTCACCAAAAAAACATTTTGACGTATAGAATATGCTTAAAACTCAATTATTATTAAAATTAATATTCAGCTGCAGCAAGCAACATAGATGACATTCATGTAAAGAATAGTCGTAGAAATAAATGTATCAACTCATTTTTAGTACATTCTCTATGTTACTATCTTCTAGAAACACATATCGCTATATACCGAGTATTTAAGTATGTGCATTGCTAATATTACACAATCACTAAAATATAAATCATATAGATGATGCCTTGATTGGAAAATCCATATTTATTTAGATGATGCTTATAAGCACATTTAGTATTTCTTAACACCTTGACGTTTAGAGCAGAAGTTGCAATGGTTTTATTGACGTTTCTTTCGATATTCTTAAAATAATGGATTCCAATAAATTTTGTGTTATAATTTGTTGCTAATTTTTAATGGAAAAAAATAATGTTTAAAACAAAGTTTTGCTTGTCAAACACTGCTCCATAGAAAGCAAACCTAGAATGTTGATTACGCCTTGGTTCTAACAATATAGACACTGTTGATGCACTACACTCTGGTCGCCCAAATGAAGCGGTTACTTTAGAAAGCCTACCAATTTTTTAAGAAAACCATGAAAATATAAAGTTGCAGTAGATAGCTATATGAGCATTTCTCCATAAAAAACTTGCTTCTGAAATGGGTGCCGCATTTGCTCAAAGTTGATCAGAAACTACAACTTGTCAACGATTGTTTGGAGTTAAGCAAATCAAATGAATTTTTGCATCGATATATCGATAAATGGATGAAATATGGTTCTCCCATCTAGTTTTGCAGTCAAAACGAAGTCAAGTGAATGGACAGGAGCCAGTAAAAACCGTCCGGCTTTGACAAAATGAATAAAAGTCTGCTGAGAAGGTTATTTCATCCTTTTGAGATATTCATGGTATAAGATTTAACGACTACCTTGAAAAAGAATAACCTATCATTAACGAATATTATATACACTTATTGCTGCTTTTGAAAGTCAAAATTGCCCCGAATGAAGAAGAAACTAGTACTATTTCATCAAAACAATTCACCGCCTAACAGACCGTTGGTTACAATAGCGAAATTACAGGAACTATATGTACATTGAATTGATTTCGTATTCAACATATTCGTCAGATTTGGCACCAGCGATTACTATATGTTCGCACCCTTTAAAAAAATGATTAATGAAAAAAGCTATTTGTCCAATGAAGCAAATGCCTATTGTGATGTAAAGCACACATTTTTTCACAAATGAGGTGTCTCAATGGTAGAAAAGTGCTGAAATGATTGTGGGTCTCTGGTAGGCAATTATGTTGATGAATAAAGTCAAATTTTGCGAAAAATAATGTGTTTTTATAATAACCTCTGGACACTTAAGCCGATGTATTATAGCTTGGATTAAAGTAATGTTTAATAAGTTAAATAGTATTTGTTTTTCATAAGCCGATTAGGTATTCTACTTGACATAAACCAAAAACGGACAAGGAATAATGATAGTTAGATAAACTGTTATAAAGAAAAGATCAAATGATGACTGTATATCGGATTGTCTTTGTTTTTTATTAGTCCCTTGAAGCGATGCGAATATTATTATTCTCAAACCTCCTTTCTTCACCTCTTCTGTGTAAATAACTCTGATACCAGTAGACCAAGAATTCAACCATATATCGTGCACTGCAACCAAATTAAGAAAGAGAAAAATAAAACTTAATGTCACAATAATTATAAAGTCATACTGTTTCATATAAAATAAAGTTATCTTTCAAAATATTCTAAATTCGTTTCTATAACGATTCAATTTATTTTATTCTCTCATAAAATACAAGGACACGCAATCCGAATACAAAGAGAATCTATCTAAGTTGTTGCGAGAATTAAATAAATTAAGCAAGTGTGAAATATTAAATTTTAAGATACACAACCGCGTCGTCATTATTGCCTCTTATAACAAATTAGATCTCACAGACACAGATATTATGCTTTTACGAAAATTTATTTTCTGACTCCATATAAAATTGCAGACAAGACCCTTTCTACCTAGAAACCCCATTCGCTGGTACATCTAAAACTACGCTAACTGCTATTGTTTATGGTGCCTATTTTCTGCTCCACCCATTCAGAACAGAAAAAAGATGTATGAGTTTTCAGAAAAGCCATTGTCGGCTTAATGCTGCCATCTAGCGGCGCTAAAAGTGTCTGCTTGATATATTGTTATCATTTCAACAATGGAAATTATTTCATTACATTGTTTTTCGAAGGCGGCTCGTGGTGTACGTTTAATATTGTTGTTATTGTTCTGTATGTGAGCGAGTGTTGCTTTGCTGTTATGCTTTACATACCACATTTGTGCAAAAAATATTGCCGTCACTCCACTTTTCACAGGCAGTGGCAACAGTCGCAATTTTGGGCGCTTTTACGTGTTATCCTTAATATTATTTGCCATCCTTGCCGAACCAGCCACACAAAATGTTGGCTTAGTAATTTTATAATACAATAAAGTAGAGCAAACACTAAAAACGTTGACGCGATTCTATGAAGATTGCTTCGCGGAGATGAAGCATAAGAATTTGGTTTATTGTAATTTACAATATGTCAACGTGAAGTTAATAAAGTGCGCATTATTATCCTTGTAATGATATTGTTATCGTAAGCAAGACTTTTGGTGATATTGTTGCTGTTGCAGTTGCTATTGCTGCCAAAATGACGTGTTAATGGCTTAAAGGACACAGTTAATGGAGAAATAAAAACATGTTAAGAACGAATTAATTAAACGACTAAAGGACATATAAGAGTCACAATAATATCTCATTCTTTTATGCTTGAAATTACTTACTGAGCTAATTTTTTTTTAGAATACCAACATTCATATTTTCGGGTTATTGTTGAACTTTCTTTTTCTAAATTACACATTGGAAGGAGACGTCCGTCTGATCAAAATTCCATAAAATATTTACATGTTTACAATCTTTTGGTCTATTTTAATTTAATTAATTATTTCGAAATAACCGAAGAGATGGATTCCAATGACGCTCACTATAACATATGAATAATATTAGTTTATTAAATGCTCAAACCCTTAAATAACCAATAAATGGTTACTTAACCAGGCCTGCAAAAGTTTGATAAATAGAAATCAATCGGAACAACAGGCATGAAGATTTAATTTAAAAAAACATTTTCTATTGATGAATGATACCCCATATATATAATAAAATTCCAAATTGCAATTAATGTTAACCTCAATATTAACCCTCAAGTTTTAAAACGACTGAATTATACATAATTATTATGTAGATGTAATATATACTAAATAATTATAAGAAATAGATAAAAATAAGATAAGATAAAAATAAATAAAATATATGGAAATGAATAAATTAACTACTGTTCGAAGTGTTTTTCAATGGTAGATGTGAAGACTTCCATTATAGGACTTGACTGCTGTACTAGAAAATCAAATTCAAGTAATCGAAAGTAGCAGCAAAGTACCAAAGAATAAGTGATGTTTTTGATATTTTTACGTTACAATTGCCTTAACATATTCTTATAAAGTAAGTATAGATTCTATAAATATTAATCAATCTCATTTAATTTTTCTTTACAGTAAACTTATAAATAATTTTAGAATATAATCCCTTTAACTTAAGAAAAGCACGTCTTGAACACTTCCCTTAGAACACTATGTATTCAAAATGTATTATATTTTGCAAATATTTGTGATATTGAAAAGAAGTCGCGGCTTTTTAACACATTTTAGAATATTATTAATCAATTTTAACCAAATATATAAAAAACTTAATCAAACATATGTGTGGCCTGATATTGTCACCACGGAATACAATTATTTGAACAATTCAATAAGTCGCTTTTTTTTATTATGCAGTTCAAGCAGTCAAATTTTATGCGAATTACCTTGCCAGTATTCGCTTGACGTAATTAGACTAGTGTTCCCAAATACTAGTCTAATTCCATTCAATATCACCCAATGTTAAAAATACTTTAATATGCCGATTTTAAGAGAAATTACATTTAATTAATGGGAATGTTTCAGTATATAATACATTTTTAATAAAAAAAAAATGTTTATTTTTGTATACAATTCAAAAATAATGGTTGGATTCAATTGTAATGTAATATAATGTATAGATTTGAATACTTGTTGTATAGACCCTTCAATGTCTATTTTACCCATACACTCCAATTTTCACATGGAAATTTTTATATAATTTTCGTTTGATATACAGTTCAAATAAGAGCAGGTTTCTATTTTATCGGAACGATATTTAAGCATTAAAATGCATATACAATTAATTTCTTCTAATAAAGATATAGTAAGTGATGTGAATGAAAGGGACCGAAATTTCTTATGCAGGAAGGCTAAAGGAACGCTATGGTGTTCTCACACAAAAACTTTTCTGCTTTATGCCTAATCGTGTTATACATATACATATATATAAATGGATGAATCATAAGATTTATTGTAATTGTCCTTCAATGTTTAAGATAAAAAATATATAAATGCTAAAAGACAAATGCTATACTACTTATTATGCTACTTTTTCTTTATTTGCCGTTAAAATGCCATATGTTCGATGCAACGTCAACTGTTCCAACATTGCCATTTTATTCAATATCACATATATGTCACATTCGCAAACCATGGATATCATGTGGTTTATCCATTCATAAAAAAGTAGCACATCCAAACTTATTTGTTTAACATCAGTATCGACCATATATTGTATAAATACATATATACAATATCAATAATAATAATACAAATTTTTATATAGCTTTCGCTAAGATATTAATTCTAAATTTTATTATATAGGAGTTCAATATAGCCTCAAATCAATTTTTCTACATCTGTTTTCAATACATAACTTGACTTATATTCGTAACTTACTTCAGCAGTTTTCATAATTACGTCAAATTTCAAAAAGTTTTTGAACTGACATCTGATGTGCTGTCAGAATCGAGATCTGAGTTTTTAAATGAAATCATATCTGCATTTAAGGCTGAGTCAGAAAAATACTCCGAATCCATATATTCATCTGTGTCTGTTTCAGATTCAGGGTTTAAATTCGTGCTGTATGAACTGTGATCAGAAAGCAATATGCAAGCACACATTTCCTTAAGTACTTCACATTCAAAGGGATGATAATATAAAAACAGTATTGTGTCCATAACTTTTGAGTTTATGAGTTCATCTGTGTGTTCCAAAATTAGCTAAATATATATGCAATACATTAGTTATATTAGAATAGTTCCATTTCATAAATTTAAATCAAACCTTATTCAGAGCCTGCAAAATGACCAATCGAACCTCATATGAAGGTAATTCTTCTTTTCTTGGATCCATATTCAAAGTTTGCAAAATGCCTAATCGAACATCATATGAAGGGAACTCATCTTTCCTTGGATCCAACCATTCAGCGTAAACTTCAAGTATACCGTACCGTAGCAATGTATCTTGTAATTTAGGACATGAAGAAAATTGAATGACTTCTGTCAACATTCGCTCCTTTTCAGCACTATTCCCCATTTCTAAATCATGTTGCGTAGCTGCTTTCATGTCATCAACAAATTGACGGCACAACTTTTCTTTTTGTAAAGAAATTGGAGTGGGCTTGTCAAAATCTATCAAATAAATATCAAACATATTATCTCATAACAAAATAAAATAATATCAAAAATGTAAATAGATGTAATCTGTCATATTATGATAATGATGACATCATCATCATCATTATTTGACTCCAAAAATGAGTAATCTTTGACCATGTAACATGAAATCATCAGATCATCTTGATACCCTGTTTTTGATTACCTGTGTAAAACTTTGGTTACGAATCCGAAAAGTTATTTCTGACTACATGTTTGATGTAGCTCAAAAAATTAATAAAGTGAATAACATTTTTATCGATAACATTCTCAAATGAATCATTACTTTCAATTCCAGTTTTATTATTTTCATCTCATATTAAAGCAAACATTGTGTTACAGTCATTCCTATTAACTAAAATGAATATCATAATTTTACTAGAATCAATTTTCTCCCCAACTTATCAAATTCTCCCCAACTTATCAAATGTGCTATAAATATGCCTGTATTTATAGAACATTTCCATCAAAAATTTGGTACGATACTGATTTAACCACATGAAATTGAACTGATTGAATTTCATGTGGACTGACTCCACTGTGACCATATCACCACGTTTGATTCTAAGAAGATCTGTACTTTTTAGTTACTTGATTATGTATCACTTGCATAAGTTTCAATGGGTCATAATGTTTAAATTTAAAAAGTATTCAGTTAACACTGTTTTTAATATGTAGTATACTCGTATTGCAGACTTGTGATTCTCAGACAGCGCAATTAAGATTTCAACTGTTTAACTATTATGCAAAAATTGCATTGTTTTTTCCAATTAAAATTTAAATTAGCATCAAATCAATATATAGAAGTTAAACTAATACAATAATGCCAGAAAGGTTTAGAGATTTGTAAAAATAACATAGAGACCACACGGACAATAATGGAGAAAATACCAAAACTTACATATAATACATAAATGTTATCTGTAAAAAAACATGTATTGATATGCCTTGATGACTATAATATATGGCTGTCTTATCAAGATGAATGAAATTTAATCATAGTATTTATATTTAAGATTACACTCACATATCGTTCACGTATATTTCAACTTAAAAGGTGATACCGTTTTTGCTAGTAATTTCAAGTATGTTATCCCTGACCAAAGGACACCAGGCCCACACTCTTGTCAGTGAAAGAGTCTTCAGTTATTATGAGCTGGTTTAACTTTTAAACCCTATACCTTTTATAATTCTACGGATTGCGATAATCTTTCGCTGATAATAATCTATAATAAAGCTATATATTATGACAGCTTGTATTGTTAATAAACTTTGTCATCGCTCTACATTTACATAAAGTACCTCCATTTTTAATAGAGAAGCGAAACAATCCTTTAACCAGTTAACTGATTAGCTTTTAACAATTAAAGAGAAATATCGAAAACATAGAGGTAATTATGCTAAGCAAACAATTTAGCACGACACGACGGGTTTTCTTATACGATATTGATCATTCTCATCTATCCTGTTTGACATACGCTTAAGTCTGGGCAAGTAAAAAATTTTCTATATCGGATACTTTACCAAAACATGATATTGATCTCCATAAGCTAGAGTAGTGACTTATTAATTTAAAAGCGAAATCGAACATCGTTTGATGTATGGAACTTATATTATTATAGGTTCATAGACGCATCTATACTGCGTCTATACATACCTATATAGTATAAATTCCTTTAAATTTCAGATGACTATAATAGTATAAGTTCCATATATACATATATATATCATATTACATATATATGTATATATGGGACATAAATTAAAATACAAGTAACTTACCCCCAAACTCGTCCATTTAGTCTAAATATCAGTTATATTGTATTATAATTATTCAATTTCTTTTTAAAATGAATTTCTTTCTTTCAAAAATAATAGTTTTGAAAATATTTGACGCTTGCTTTTTTAAAAAAAAATAGACGGAGAAAGATATTTGAGATATAATTCTACGTAATGTATATTATACGGATATTAACAACGGGGTCTACTTTTCGTTACTTTTATGTTCAAAATCAAAAAACAAAAATTTAATAACACTGGACACACATGAAAGTTTTGATTGTAACTATAGCTGAGTTCAGATCAAAAAAATTTGTATGTGAATTTTGACAGCTTTAAACGGAATTGAAATTTCTACAGTCAAGTTGATTTTAGCTTGGATAGTTCACCGTAGTATAGTATTGCACAGTACAAGCTTATGCTATTGTGAATAGCTGTGAGAAATGAAAATAAAATTTTTACATAAAATGGAACTAAACTGTTAATTATCATATGCATATATCGTATATACAAAGTGTTTATCATATGTGCAAAGTAAATATTGTGAAAAAGTACCTAAATAGTATGGAAATATATCTAAATCTGACAATCAATTTACAATGATGCATCGTGTGAATCTATATTTTTGATTTTTGATTTCAAATCAAAACTTTCGTATGACCCCGCTATACGGGGTACCATTTTAAAACTCCGACGGTTTTTTTTTACTAGGCTTCTCAGTTTTAATAAGGCCTTACCAGCTGAAATTCTGTTTTTAATATAAAAATAAAAACAATTCGCGATTAAAAATTAAATTTAAAATAATTGAAAGAAATTTATAAATAAAGAACAAGTACATATAACTTTTAATGGGTTGTATATGTAAATTTTTAACTAAACATTATAAAGTCACGAAACTTTTTTGCAAAGATTATTTCACAAAATTTTGTTCTAAAATAATTTTGTTTTTTTTTGATGATGTTGATATCCCAAAATTTTATAAAGTGTTATCTTACTTCCATTTAAATAAAATTGGCTTGAGTTCTGTAATATTCAGACAACCAAATTTCCTTAATTCCGTAAAAATTAAATTAAGTTAATTTCGAAAATGTTTACAATCCCCCAAATTAAGGAAATCATATGTTATTTGTTTACAAATAGAATGTTAAAAATTGCATGCTCCAAACACTATTTATGTCTGGGAAATTTTAAAAGTTGACTATTATAACTATAAAGGATGGCATTCAGTAGTTTTATTAGCTTTAGTCTATTTAGGGTATGTGAATTATTATTTTTCACTCTATTTTAAATTAATAACAGTTAAAGTTTTTTCTCTATATTCAAATTTAAAAATTTGCACTACATTCAAAATATTTTCCCGGCTTTATTAATGTCAACTCTCATTGACATTTATTTAAAAAATATCACTTTTTTGTTATCTCAACTTGAATTTGAAAGGTGCCTTAATTTCAGCTTTCGTTTCCACAAAATTAAGGTCATTTTTCCTAATTTCGTTGTAACCTTAAAATTAAATTTTGTATGCAAAAAAAGAACTTAATTTCGCTGAAATGAAGATGATATTAAAATTTTCGCGAAATTAACATAGTGTTCAGATTGCAAAAAGAGAAAGAGCAAACATTGGTATGTTTGAAAGAAACTTTAATTATCAATAATCAAAATATTATAAAATTTTTTTATATAAAGAATTATAACATGTGTATATTACAATAATTTTCTATGTTTAAAGTTAGTTCGATTGATGCTACTTTTTATAAACTATTATAATTATTATTATGTGTATTACCATAATTTATTATTGTTGCATTTTTGTCAATTATGTTAATTTTAGTCACATTATTACATTAGCCTTAATTTTTTAATTTCAGAGTAGCAAAAAAATACTCGCAGCTAACGAAAGAAAACATATGAAGCACCAGCAATACTTAAAATCTTCAGAGTTAGATTTTATTTCCACAAATTTTTACGTCTTAAGTTACATTGCAGCCAAATTTAAAAATTAGTCTATTGTGAATGTTCACTGGAAATATGTTGCAAAATTCCAGTCATCCGTTAAAATCATATGAGCAGATATAATAACAAATTGCAATATATAAAAACGATAAGATAAAAATGCTTACTATTTTTCTTCTACTATTTATTTGGTTTTCATTTTTTTTAAATTATATAATTGTCAGTGTTTACAATTTCATATTTCATATTGTACACAACACAACAAAAAACATATGTCAAAATAAACATTTAACATATTTTAAAAGTGATACCAATTTGTTTCAATCAGACTTAATGCTGTTTTTTTGCAACTCTGAAAGAAAAAATTACAGCTATTATTATTTTAAAAATTATTAGTTACATTCTTGGATAATTTGTATACTACTGAAAGTTTGTGTTTCTTCTAATTAATGTTGGCAAAGTTACCATGTCACTTTCAGTATGGGCAGTATAATCCATACAATTGTTTTGTTTATCATTAAAACCTTAACAACTTCGGATTTCATTATCGCTATTATATTAGCACACTTTATCTAACTAATCTTGTAGATAACACTAACTTGGTAATCCAGAAACATCTCTTCTGCTATACTCGCAGCAGCTTCTTCGTCGTTGTGACAAAATGACACTACTTAAAATTTTCAAGAAGGCCCAAACATATTTCGATTAACAAAATAATGGCAATAAGAGCTGATAATACAGTGTAAGATAAAATGTAACCAATAACGTTACTCTGATATGCTTAAACAAAAATAAATATTTGGTGTATGCTACTCAACTGTTGCATATGATTTTAAGCTAAAACGTCAAGCCCTTTCATATTTGCATTTGAATTATCATAGTAATATCTTTGTTAATATGCGCTAGCCATCGAAATAGTGGGTGTCCTAAGGTTTTGACCAAATTTCTTAAGTCTGTCTTATTTGATTAGTTGAATTCATAATTTGTAATTAGATTAAAAATTTTGACAACAATAATAAAACAGTATTACCAAGTGAAAAATTTTCCAAAAGCGATAAGGGCCATGTTATGCAGAGTGTCTTGGGCACGGGGAATTACGCTCTTTCGGGCTATGCCGAAATTGCATGTTATGCAGAGTATCACATCAGTATTGCCAATTTCGTATTTTTACAATGTTTTGATACTTTTTGGTTGTGCCTAAATTTAAAAGGAAATTTAGATATGCTCACCTTCAATTTGTCACCAAAAATAACTAGCAAGAAAAAACTCTGTTGTGAAGTTTAAAATAAGTACTCTTCATGTAACTCTTATAAGTAAAACTCTTATACATATTCTATATTTCACATTATTGTATTGCACATTATAATATAATAAAGACAGTCGTTACTAAACAGTACATGGTGTCAGGTGTGTGCCTTAAAAAAATAAATAAACTATAGTTATTTTGAAATAAGTATAAAACTTAAAAGCAAAAAATAAATAAAAAGACATTTATTTAAAAAAAAAAAATATTAAAATTAAATTAATCAAAATAATAATTAATTTAAAAAAAAAAACAAAAATGGAGAATGAGTCCAAAGCAACAGTTCCACAACAAATGGCAACAAACCAACAATTCATGTCGATAGCCACAACCATTGCTCCAATAAATTTGAAGTCATCGAATTTGTCAGTGGAGTGGACCAGATGGAAGACGCAATTTACGATTTTCTTACGTGCTTCAAATCTGGAGGAGCAGGGTGATAAACGCCTTGTAGCTTTGCTTTTGCATCATCTTGGGAGTGAAGCAATGGAAATTTTTAATTCATTTAATGTGAATTTGGACTCTATTGCTTACAAAAATCTAATTGAAAAATATGATGCCTATTTTATTCCAAAAGTAAATAAAGCAATAGAACGTCACAAATTTTTTATGCGCAAGCAAGAAAATGATGAATCATTAGATGAATATATGACGTCATTGAAAAATTTAAGCAAAAGTTGTGAATTCGGATCTTTGCAAGAAGAATTAATAAGAGATATTTTTGTATGTGGATTATCATCTAAATACATTCATATTAAAGAAAGACTATTGAGTGAAGGTAATATTTCGTTAAACAAAGCTATGGATATTGCAAAAGCAATAACAATGGCAAAGGAAAATTTAAGTCAACTTGAAGGGGATAACAACAACACCACTAATTTCGTTGGAGCTTTACGGTATCAACATAAAAAAAATACCGCAGATAAGCCAAATTATAATTATCTTCGATCAGAATCATTGTCATATTCAAAACGTGGTAATCAACAAAACTACAAAGCTACAAATTTCACAAATTACTGTAGTCGTTGCGGTCAGCAGCATAGGAACCGTTGTCCAGCAGATGGTGTGATTTGTTATATCTGCCAAAAACCAAACCATTTTTCGAAAATGTGTCGCAGCAATATAAAACAACAACAATTTTCATCAAGCAAATATGTAAAACAAATCAGTGCAGAAGATGACGACGTAGAAGATTTGTTTATTGGAATTTTACATACAGCAAACAGTAAAAACGAGTCCATAAAAAACAGTAGTACAGAAAAAATAGAAACTGTTCAAAATAAAATTTGTGAGTGGAGTATTGAGACTATAATTAATAACAAAAAAGTTCTCTTTCAAATTGACACTGGAGCACAAGCCAATATATTATCAATGCACACTGCAAATTATTTAAATATTGATTTTTGTAATAATGTACATATTAGTAATACAAACATATTAACTTTCAGTGGCGAAAAGTTGCCTATTGTCGGCAGTGTGAATTTGAAAGTGAATTTTAAAAACAAAGTATATGATTTGCAGTTTTTTATTGTAAATATGAAATGTAATAATATATTGGGGCTAAGTTCAGCTATAAATATGAATATTGTAAAGTATATAAATGCATTATTTGTTGATAAAATTTTTGAAAATTATAAAGAAATTTTTTGTGGTTTAGGAGAATTAAAGAATAAATGTGAACTAACTATTAGGCCGGAAATCACTCCAGAAATTGATCCTCCAAGAAAGATTCCTTTTGGTTTATATGATAATTTAAAAAAAGAATTAATAAGAATGGAAAGTTTAAATGTTATTACTAAAGTTAATGAGCCAACTGAATGGGTCAGTTCTATTGTGCTTGTAAAAAAACCAAACGGCAATTTACGTGTATGTTTGGACCCAAGAAATTTAAACAAAGCAGTCATGAGACCACACTATCCATTTCCAAATGTAGACATTTGTAAAACGCAACTAAGTGGTTCCAAATATTTTAGTTCTCTTGATGCTAATTGTGGTTTTTGGATGATTCCATTAACTAAAAATTCATCTAAATTATGTAC